CAGACAGGATATTGCAGCACTAAATGAATTCCAAAGGGTGAGGAACAGAGTACAGAGACTTATAAAAGGAGCAAAGGCAAAGCACTATTGTTCAAAAATTGAAGAGTATAAGCATAACCCCAGAAAGCTCTGGCAACAACTAAAACAGTTGGGGTATAGCCATAAGCCAGTAGATAGGTCTAACATAGTACTCACTATCGATAATGAGGTATGCCACGAAACATCTAAGGTGGCAAATTGCTTTAATTCATACTACACATCTGTTGCATCAACACTAGTAAGTAAACTACCAGCTGCATCAAATACCTTTAACACAGACTCTGATAAGTTTCAAACATACTATACCAATAAAGGGGTAACCCCAAACAGTTGTCAACTAGTAAGTGTATCTCATGACTTTATTCAAAAAGAACTAAGCAGGTTAAACCCAACTAAGAGCACAGGCCCTGATAACATCCCGTATAAGTTCCTAAAAGATGGTGCTTCTGAACTGTCAATCCCTATTGCTCACATAATAAATCTATCAATCACCACTAATACCATACCGGAGGGGTTCAAGGAGGCCAGAGTTACTCCTATCTTCAAGAAAAATAGTAGGTCTGATGTAAGCAACTATAGGCCTGTTAGTATACTCAGTATAATATCTAAAATTCTAGAGAGGGAGGTGTATTCTCAAGTAGTTAAGTACCTTAATGACAACAACATTCTCCATAGCTATCAATCGGGCTTTAGAAGATCCTACTCAACCGACACCTCCCTTATTAATCTGATGGATTACCTGAGAACTGAAATGTCAAAGGGGAACTTCATAGTATGGTAACCTTAGACCTGCAAAAGGCCTTCGATACTGTCAACCACAATAATTATGTAATAAACTTCAAGCTATCGGTATAGGTTCTGTAGACTGGTTTAAGTCCTACCTTAGCAACAGGAGACAAATAGTCAAAATCAACAAAACAGAACAGAACCCCTGCCGATAACATGTGGAGTTCCCCAAGGTAGTATTCTGGGTCCCTTATTATTCTTATGTTATGTCAATGATATGCCTATCAGTGTCAAGTGCAAACTCCTACTGTATGCAGATGACAGTGCTCTGTTAGTGTCAGGTAAAGACCCACAAAATATTGCTAATGTTTTAACACTGGAACTGGAGTCCTGCAGCAAATGGTTAGTAGACAACAAACTATCATTACACCTAGGGAAAACTGAAGCCATTCTCTTTGGCACGAAACATAAACTGAGAAGGGTAAATAATTTTAATGTTCAAATGTAATGGGGAGCCCATCACTTTGGTTTCATCAGTAAAATATTTGGGAATCCCCTTTGACCCATGCATGTCAGGAGAATTGATAGGGAACAGTGTAGTAAGAGAAGCGAATGCCAGACTGAAGTTCCTGTATAGACAAGCACAGAGTCTACCTACTGAGGCTCGCAGACCCTATGTCTAGCCCTTATACAATGCCATATGGATTACGCTTGCTCTTCTTGGTACTCTGCCTTGACAAAAAAACTGAAAGATAGACTGCAAATCACCCAGAACAAAATCGTAAGATTCATCCTGGGGCTGGGACCAAGAGAACATGTAGGCCAGGATGATTACAGCAGTTGGATATGCTGAATGTTGAAGACAGAGTAAAACAACTGAAGCTAAATCATGTTTATAAAATTGCTCACAGTGTCCAGAATATCTTGCTGTCAATTTTGTCAAGGTTGGGAACCAAAGCAATCATAGTACTAGGGGGAGAGAGCACAATTTTGTAGTACCCACAGTCATTGGCCAGGCTTCAAACACCTTTTATTGTACAGCAATAAAGGAATGAACAGACTGCCCGCACATGTCAAAGCCAGTCATAACATGAACCAGTTCAAGAAGAGTGCCAAAAGGTGTCTGATGAATGTAGCTACAGAAAGGGAGGGGAATGATTTTCTATTTTTTAGCTAACATACGTGTAAATTTTTTACCTTATTCCTAGTAATGACCCTCGTATTGTAGATAGTCTTAATGACCTTGGTGTAGTAGATAGTATTTTTAGTATGATAATAAGATGTTATCTTCATTGTAGAATAATAAGAAAATATTATAACCTTTATATTATAATAATAAGGTAAAAGGACCACAATGGAAATAAATCACTCTGTCTGACTTTTTTGGGTTATCCTAGGTTCTCTACACACATGCTGCTATGTATGATAATTCTATGTAACTGTATTTGTGTATACCTGAATAAACTTACTTACTTAATCAATGTTTAATATCTGATGCGTCTTATTTACCCCTCAAGGAAGGTTCCTTGATGTTGGTGAGGGGCTCTTGATTTAGGGAATTGGATCTGTGCTCCAGTTCCCCGAATTAAGCCTGAATGCCTTCCACATCCACCCCCCAGGTGCTGTATAATCCTCCGGGTTTAGCGCTTCCCCCTTGATTATAATAATAATAATAATTCATAATTTAAGTGCTGGGAAATAAGGTTTGTGTGATGCTCTGTGAGGCAGAGTTCTTAGATTACTTCTGAGAGTTGTTTCATCTTGCTTTACACTAACCTGTGGCTAGGATGGATGTTCCACCGGTCACTTCTAGGTGACAATTGTAAGGATATTATTAGTATATTTTAATAAGAATTGAAAGTGTAAATACAATAAATTAAATAACATCAACAACTACTTTGGATTCAGTTTTGTGCAATAAGAGGAACTAACGGAGGTAAACGCCATTTTTATTAATCAGAATTGCAGTGCTGTAATGTGTTGCAGTTGATTTTGCTCTGCTGTTTACATTTTTGGGAATCTGCATTATCGTACTTTTAAGTAGATAGTGTTATAATATGTAAGATGATATTTAAAATATTTCCTATAAAATATCTTAAGAGATATGAATTTTATTGGTAGTTTTATATTTATTTATGCTGTTAATCAGACTTAACGCAACATTGAGTTGTGAACCCAAATTTGAAAAAAAAAATGACGATCAGTGTGATTAATTTTTGGATACTGATTAATTTTTGGATATTAATTTTTAAATATTGCAGGAATGGTGTTGACAGTGTTAGGTCCCCTGGCTGGACCAGACCAGGCGAGGCACCCATGTATCTAACTCCACCATCACAAGGTTAATAACAACTGTAACAGTGTTACTAACTCTTTATGGCAGGTAACCTACAACAGTTGTCGTCAAACGAGCTTATTGAAAGGATTTGTTAAATTTTGCTCATTTTGTGAATTTAATTTCATTAGGGGAAGTGTTAGTTCAATGAAACCTAGTAGGTTTAGCGCTTTGTTTTGATAATAATACTAATGCTTAAATGAAAGGGAGGGGGTCATGTTAATTATGTGTAACATTACAGGTAAGTGTGAGGTACAGCTCGTCGAGGGACATATACACACCACCTGTCAGGTACGTCCAGATTATACGGTTCCAATTAGCGTAATTTTCAGCGGTTTTAGTAAGTGTTGTTACCTAATGCACCATGTGTTACTGACCCGGATTTGGATAACTTGACATCTGCATATTATGGTAGGCATCAAAAACTTGTCTAGTTTTTCATGGTAGTTAAAGGTATCAAATATCCATTATCTGCCTTGTCCATGGTAAGCTCGAGCCTTACATTTAAATTTTTGCTTGGTCATAGTTTGAGTTCTACTTTTACCTTCTGCTCAGGAAGTTATCGAATCTCAACTCTTGACTGGACTCTGAAGGCTGGCACGAGTGCACATGGGTAATAGTTTGAATTATGATAGTGTATTGTTGACTCACGAAATCGTAATGACACGATTGCGAACAAACCATACCACGGTATGTGTTTATAGTGTATTGTTGATGGTATACAGTGTTTACGAGATGATGAATAAGAACACACAATGATATGTGCACTGGGAGGTATCTCTTATATAGTGAGTTTTCTTTAACCCCATATTTCAGGATTATAGTATTCTTGTCTGGTGGTGCACAGGTGACATGCAGTCTTAATAATTCGTGTAATCAATAGATTTTAAACCCACTAACACAACCACAGCTCTTTCGGCTCTAATACTTAAGTTCCCAATCGGGGGTTCTTTGTACCAGCGTCTCCGCTCTATATACGAGAACCTCATCTCTTACAGTCACGGAAGTGAGAGTTTTAAGTAACCAACACCAACATATGTTAGATACAGTATTCATGTCATTATTTGCAGTTTTACTTAGTGCTGTACGCTGAATTTTTCTGAGAGGATATTATTAAAAAATGTATTTAGTTTTAACTTGGATATTAAAGTGTGTTGTAAAGCAAGCATCTGTCTGCTTTTTATAGAATTCTAATTGTGTCGATAGAGTTACGAATGTATCAACAGGACCTGGGTCATTTAGGCTACAATTCACCTCCATATCAACAATCATGAATACATTATCTAAAGTAAAGATAAAAATAAGCTCACAAAATACATACTCTAACATATATACATCTGTGTGTATATGTCTCCGTGCATGTACTGTGATTCATAAAGAATGGTACAGGTGTAAAAATGAACCAGATGTGGTCGTCAGAGAGGCCACGTATTAGTGGAGAAATAGTTTGGTTATACGCGCAACATTATAAAAATAAAATCTTTATTCAGTGATTATTAGTGTTATTATATTCAAAGGTAAGGGCTAAAACCGTAAGGGTTGTACAAAAAAGTGGTATGATAGTCCGGTGATTACAGTTTGTCCGAGTGTGAGATTAAGTTAGTACAGTCAGGTAGCGTGTTTGTTGCTATTACTGAACAGAGGATCGAGCCTCCATCACTCTTTGCTCTAAATGATCCACATGGATTTAGCACTACACATATTGTGGTAAAATAATATGGAGCACATACCCCGCAGTCCAGCTGCGAGTATGGAAGCGTTAAACTCTTATGACATAAAGTGCCTGAAGAATGGGAAGCAGTAAAGTTTGAAGCTAGGAAAATTAGAGTAGTTCCGGTTCCTTGGATTAAGAGCACTTCAGCATGAAGGCATTCCCCTTGAAGGGGCCGCCAAGTCGTACCTTGCTTGGGTTTATAGTCAGGAAGAACAACACTGGTGGTGAAGGTCCAGAACTTCTCTGGATGTTTTTCACGCAGGGACACCTCCTCCCTCACAGAGGCGTCGATGGGGTGTGGCAGGGACGATGACTTCTGTGACTTCTGGGACCTCGAGTCTCCCTCTGTGTCCTGACTGTGGAAGAAGCGGTGAATATCAGAAATAGTTTGAGCTTCTGGACCCTTCTTGTCTCGAGTCTTAGCACTTGTGTCGCCAAAGAACATGTTGTAGTGAGTCTTGCTGGAACTTAGCGCATGGCTCCTCCTCAGGGTGCTAAAAGTGTCAGAGAGCGTTGGCCTATTCTTGCGTTGCTTGTATGGTAAGGCATCTTGATCATCGTTATACTGTCGCTTATACTTCTTGGTTAGAGATCTGCTGATGGACTTCCTAAAAGACTGACTCAGGGACCGGCCGACTTTCTTGCTTAAACTTCTCTTTAGCTGAGACATCGAATCTGTAATTTGGTTTACTGAATCACTGATTTTGGACTGACCTACTGCAAGACTTTTACGACCATTATGAACAGTGGAACTGCTTTCCTGATGCAATAACTTATTCTTGGACACAGTGATGTGATTTCCATCATTTGCTTTCCTCTGTGAGTGTTTCCTTTCAATATTATCTGCATTTTTTACACACACTCTGAAACTGTTTTCACCCTGATGTCTGGAGCTCCGTTCTTTTTTCTTGATTTCTGCAAAGCTGCTTAGTCTACTTACTGTACCTGTGGCTTCACTGATCTGGTCCTCCCCAGAATAATCTTTGCTTACCCTCATTTGGGCAACGGTGACTGGGCTCAGGTGTGGTGGGCCTCTGTTCTCATTTCCTCTTATTTGCACGTGACGGCTTCGGGAAGGTGTGGGATCATTACCTGACATTGCTGGCTTCTTGACTCCAGGCGAACTCTGGTGCTTTCTGTGTACCCTTTCGTTGGATGGTGCTTGGGAAGTTGCAAGACTGACAACATTGTTGTTAAGGGTACTTCTGTTACGTGTCGGTGCAGCACTATTGTTCACGTTTTTTGAGTGAAGCGAGTTTTCCTGCAATAAATGCGTGTTCTTTGACGAAGTAGAGTCTGGAAGTTTACTCTGAAGCCTAGCAAGAGATGGTGTCTTAGCTAGTTCAGTTCTTGCAGAATTTCTCTCTTCTTGTTTATTTTTATTCTCGTTATGAACTTGGCCGCTCGTTTTGTGGGGAGAACCAACCCTTCTGTGACTATGGGAGAACGGAGTAGTAGGCTCTGGCGTCGATCCCCGTGACAGGCGATCGAAATATTCGAGCTTACCTTTGAAGGGCAGAGCTGTGTCTGATATGAGCTTAGTGGATGGTCCCAGGAAAGAATAGCGCCGAACTACAACTTTCTCAGCAGGTGCGTTGCCGTCCACATTTGGGTAAATATACGAGAACCCGGGCTGCATCAGGGGCTGGGGCCGCCGCACTGGAGAAGTCTCCTCCTTCGGCGAGTTGTTTCCACTGTTCTTCGGAAGTGCGTCTACCAGTGGCCAGCGAGGGGAAGCAGCCACTGGGGAATGTCTTTGACTCGTGTCGTCTTTCCTCCGATGTGATGATCTGGAAGATTGGTGATCAATGGAAAGATGGTGTTCACCTTTCTGGCGGGAGGTTCCGGTCTGGTCACGGGGTCTGTGCGACCTGTGGGATCGTTCAGATCTGTGAGACCTTTCGGACCTGTGGGATCTACCTGATATTTTCGATGGAGAGTTGGCAGTACTGCTGTTCTCAAGGCTGTCCTGAAATTCAGGACTGTTTTGAAAAAGCTGATCCAACCTATATCGCGCTGCATACAGCTGATCAATCTCTTGATCTGACACTGCCATTGTCACAAGCATAACCTTTCACATAATGAAAATATCTTCGATGGAAAGGCAACCTTGTCATGGCTTCTGGGCCTATCTTGTGACCCCAGGATCAGTAGATCACTCTGGTATTCACTCAGGTCCTGTACAGTAGTTACAGGAGGCGGTATGAGGCTAACTCTGGTTACACACCTACAGTAATTTCAAGAACTTGGAACATCCGTTAGGGACATTCCCACAGTACACTAACATTCTCTTTTTCTTAGCTGTTTCACCAAACACTAGTAGGTATCATTAACACGCCACAACGAGGAAGCGGCAGTAGTGTGTTCGCGGGTGACACTAGCAACGTAATGCGCCTGGCTGAGCGAGACAAGAGGGTGAACGGGAGTCTGGGCTGGTGGGTCTTGGTCTGACACTGACATATGCAGAGTCAGCTGGTATTCGGATGGGCGGCACCGACGGTTTGTGGCCAGGCCACCCACAACACTCACAGAAGTAATATCGCTGTGCCCGCCTACCGGTTGTGGTAGTGCTGGGGGCGGTGATGATGTTTGTGCTAGTAGTAATAATAGTAATAGAAGCGGTGGTAGTCGATACGCTAAAGGTAGTTATGGTTGCAGTAATGGCAGTGCCTGTGACATCATGTGTTCATTAGAAGTTAGAGTTCAGACACGAGGTTGAAACAGATGACAGACAGACTACCTGGAAGAGCAGCAGTAGTAAGTGGCAAGACAGGTGTTATGAGGTAGGTGGGACAGGTCACAGTCGACACTGCTGTCACTGCTGCCTTCTGAATGTTAGTAAGTTCATTTAGGGACAGGTCACAGTCGACACTGCTGTCACTGCTGCCTTCTGAATGTTAGTAAGTTCATTTAGGCACAGGTGCATATAAGTACAATTATCATACATAGTGTAAATTACTTAGGATAACTCACAAAAGTCAAAGTTACTTACTTATACTGGGGTCCTTGACTTATTATACACCACAGCACCGTATCATCCTTTGCGGATGATACTAGGATCTGCATGAGGCTGTCATCTGCTGAGGACGCGGTTAACCTCCAAGAAGATATAAACAAAGTTTTCCAGTGGGCAACGGTAAACAATATGATGTTCAATGAGGACAAATTCCAACTACTCCGTTATGGAAAACTGGAGGAGATAATAACTAGAACAGAGTATACTACTGACTCCGGCCATACAATAGAGCGGAAAAATAATGTAAGGGACCTGGGAGTAGTAATGTCTGAGGATCTCACTTTCAAGGATCACAACAGTGCCACGATCGCACGTGCAAAGAAAATGATAGGATGGATAATGAGAACTTTCAAAACGAGAGATGCCAAGCCAATGATGATCCTTTTCAAATCACTTGTTCTCTCTAGGCTGGAGTACTGCTGTACATTAACATCTCCATTCAAAGCAGGTGAAATCGCAGATCTAGAGAGTGTACAGAGATCCTTTACTGCACGTATAAATTCTGTCAAGCACCTTAACTACTGGGAACGCTTGGAAGCACTTGACTTGTACTCGTTGGAACGCAGGAGGGAGATATATATCATAATCTACACTTGGAAAATCTTGGAAGGAATCATCCCAAATCTGCACACAGAAATCACTCCCTACGAAAGTAAAAGACTTGGCAGGCGATGCAAAATGCCCCCAATAAAAAGTAGGGGCGCCATTGGTACACTAAGGGAAAACACCATAAGTGTCCGGGGCCCAAAACTGTTCAACAGCCTCCCATCAAGTATTAGGGGAATTGCCAATAAGCCCCTGGCTGCCTTCAAGAGATAGCTGGACAGATACCTAAAGTCAGTGCCGGATCAGCCGGGCTGTGGCTCGTACGTTGGACTGCGTGCGGCCAGCAGTAACAGCCTAGTTGATCAGGCCCTGATCCATCGGGAGGCCTGGTCATGGACCGGCCGCGGGGGCGTTGATCCCCGGAATAACCTCCAGGTAACCAGGGGTCACATTTCAAACACAAGTAGTGTAGCCTGTGGCTACACAGCACAAGATGACGGGTTTGGTAAAGAGAGACAATGTGCGGAGTAAGTGTTCATTCTGACAACGTTTCCCTCCGTGTTGAACTTGGCGATTTCCATCAGGATGGAAGCAATGCAAACTAGACATTTGGAGAAAAAACAGAATTGTAGTGAAGTCCTTTATTTGTACAACGTTTCACCCATTATTGGTCTTTATCTTTTACCTCTGATAAGTCCGGCGTTAGGTGAAACGTTGTACATTGCATTCCTGTCGACTTCAAGCAGGGTTTGCGTATAAGGTGAATTACGTTTCTAAACTATTCGCCTTAACACGTCCATTTCCGACTTAGAGGCTGGTGTGGATAACCGCCACCACCACTGGTGGACACTGGGCTGCCACAGCTGGTTCTGGGTGTAGATTACCACCACTGGTGGACAGACTGTGGTCTGCTACAGCTGGTTCTGGGTGTGGATGACACCACTGGTGGACAGACAGTGGTCTGCCGCAGCAGCGGTTTTCCTGCAATGACAGCTTCCTAATTCAATATTTATACGTCTTGCTGAGCTCTCATAGGCCATATGTTCACCAACACTCACCATAAACACACCACAAGATATATACACTGAGAGGTGTATTTCTCTCAGCGTATATATAATGAGTGTTTACTGTCTTCGCTATTTTAGGGAATGAAGTATTCTTATTGGTGGTGAAAGATTACAGTCAGCCTTCAGGACCCTCGTATAGTCGATAGCTTTTAAACTGCATACACCAACCAACTAACCGTAACACTACATCACCACTACACCATTATCACAACACCTCCGATCTTCACAAATAACCCGCACATAAAAGAGAGAAGCTTACGGGTTATTTGTGTATCGTTCCAGTCACGATATTGTGCCTTTTTTGTTATTTACCTCCGATCTTATGCTGGGAAATTTTTCTTTCGTACGACAACACTACCACAACACCCACGACACTCCACAATACCCACAACAACACTACCACAACAACAGCAACACTACCACAACACCAACAACAACACTACCACAACAACAGCAACACTACCACAATACCAACAACACTACCACAACAACAGCAACACTACCACAACACCAACAACAACGCTACCATAACAACAACAACGCTACCACAACAACAACAACGCTACCACAACAACGCTACAACAACACCAACAACAAAACTACCACAACAGCAACAGCACTACATCTATACCGCCACAGCACAACACACCGGATGTTAGGTAAAAGGACACAAGTGCAATTATTGTGACATTTTATTGTGGCAACGTTTCGCTTTCCAGGAGCTTTATCAAGCCGTTACGGCTCGCACTTGTGTCCTTTTACCTAACATACTGTCGGTAATTCTACCAACATTAATACAACACACAGGATGTGAACACAGTTTTATTTTAAACACCGGATATGAGAACCCCGTGCTTACCCGGAAAAAATTCATTACTGTAATTTACAGTGCCGATATGTTAAGTGTTCTTACTCTCCAGTTAAGTAGTGTGTGTGTGTGTGTGTGTGTGTGTAAATTAGCATCAGGATGGGAGAGGGTAACATGTGGGGTCTCCCAGTGATCAGTATTAAACTGCTACTATTCTTAATATATATAAATTATATGCGAGAGAAGTGACTCCTACATTTTGTTTATCCATGACGCGAAGTTAATTGGAAGAATATAAACGGCAGAGGATAGTAAGAGTGACAAGTCGCAAAAGAAGTAGAACTGGCCACTAGAATTCAGCTCAAACAAGATCATGCAAAAAGAGGAGCGAGAGAAAAAGGATCAGAGACCATATAAACTACATAACATGGCCGTCAGATACTACGTTAGCAGTTCTTACAAATACCTTTGAGCATATAAGTATACAATCAGAGGTTTGGAAATACTGGTTCTGGAGCAGAGGAAACTGACATATAGAGAATAAAGGAGCTGAACATAACGCCATTGAAGATGCAAAGAACCAAGAAAAATAGTATTACACTAAAAAAAAAAAACGTGATTTGACATAGCGGATAGAGACATACCGAAGTGCAGAACACATGGAAAGAGGGCACAGATAGAAGCTAGAAGAGTGATTACCTGCAGGAACGTTAGAAAATACCTCGTACATTGAAGCATCGTGAAAAAGTAGATCACGCTACATAAATAGGCAGTGAAAGAACACTATGCAGTCTTATAGTGAATATGACAGGGCCCAAAAGGCTAGGGACTTAATAGCTTAAGTTGACTTAAGAACACGGGCCAAGCACTATTTAATTAGTGAACACAGGGACAACAAGACTCCACAATTTAAACATAAGCAAAACTATGTAGAAAAGACACTGCTCTTATTTTTAATTGTTATTTAGATAACTGGAATAGATCGGAAGATTAGAGATGTATAGTTATAACTGCACACCCGCACTCCCTCGCCCCCAACATGCACTCCCTCGCCCCCAACATGCACTCCCTCGCCCCCAACATGCACTCCCTCGCCCCCAACATGCACTCCCTCGCCCCCAACATGCACTCCCTCGCCCCCAACATGCACTCCCTCGCCCCCAACATGCACTCCCTCGCCCCCAACATGCACTCCCTCGCCCCCAACATGCACTCCCTCGCCCCCAACATGCACTCCCTCGCCCCCAACATGCACTCCCTCGCCCCCAACATGCACACCCTCGCCCCCAACATGCACACCCGCACTTCTCGCCCACCATACCAATGCACACCTGCACTCTCTCGCCCCCAACATGCACTCCGCCCTCGCCCCCAAATATGCACACCCGCACTCCACTCGCTCCCCCCAGCATGCACACCCGCACTCTCGCCCCCAACATGCACTCCCTCGCCCCCAGCATGCACACCCGTACTCTCTCGCCCCCAACATGCACTCCCGCACCGTCCCTCGCCCCCAACATGCACACCCGCACCTCTCGCCCCCAACATGCACTCCCTCGCCCCCAACATGCACACCCGCACTCTCTCGCCCCAACATGCACTCCCTCGCCCCCAACATGCACACCCGCACTCTCTCGCCCCAACATACACACCCGCACTCTCGCCCCCAACATGCACACCCGCACTCCCTCGCCCCCAACATGCACACCCGCACTCTCTCGCCCCCAACATGCACTCTCTCGCCCCCAACATACATCAACAAAGTACACTCCTGATTCACTAACATTAAACTTGAAGCAAATACCGTAAGCATACATACAAACTCACTGTATTTAAACCAGCGCCTCATACATGTATATGTTCCGCAGAATTGTGTGTGCTACGACCACTGATGCTGTACGGTATTTATCTTGACCACCACACTCGCACTACCATGCTTTC